ATATTAATTTTCTAAATTTTTTAGGGGTCCCACAGGCTGGATAGAATGGCTTGGCGGGCCACATCCAGCCCGTGGGCCGCATTTTGCCCACCCCTGCTCTAATTTGATCCCTGAAGCACCGGCCAGACTGGTAGACTATGGGGTTTTGTCTTCCTCTGTAATTGAGGAAGGAGTGGTGGAGGGGAGAAAGACCTGCCCTCTTCCTTGGATCTCTCAAGTGAATTTTAGCAACCCTTACAACAGCAAAACCCTGGCCACCCTTGTCATCTTCTCTTCCCCACCCATCCTCCCTCCAACTTTATTTGTGCCATGTTAGGGCATTATACCTTGTGGTTGTGACTGTGTTTATGTTGCTTTACTAACAGGTTAGACAAGGACTTGTATAGGATGGCCTGGATATGAATGATCCACCTCAGGCAGGGGGCTGGACTAAGTGAACTCCAAAGGTCCCTTCCAGCTCTACTTTATTATGATTCCAGCTGAAAATCTGACCTGCAAGCTACATGCATCATAATCCCTACCCATGATTCTGGCACAACATCTTGCACGTTGCTTACATGGGTCAGCAACCTATGGCTGTAGCTAGGCAACAAGCAGCAACCATGGCCGAGTCCTAGCACTGGCCCGAGCAGGACCCAAGTCAGGTTATTCCAGTTTGCTGTTGTAACAAGTTGCTGATAGTGTGAGTAAACTTAAAACTTTAAGTGAAGGATATTTAAAAGACTTAACTTGGGGCATGCAGTAGTTTAGCAGCATCCAAAAATAACAAACTAAAAATAATAAGCTAACATGTCTCACCCTCCAGTTCCTTTACCAGTTTAGTAAATTCATGATCAAACATCATGTGATCTGGGCTAGAAAAACTTGGCTGAGGCTTCTGACCAGCTCTGGAATACAGTTCATGTTTACTAATGAAGCCTAGTTTCTCAATGAAATTCTCCTTGCCAATCCTCTTTTCTATCAGTTGCTTTAGTTTCTCTCTAGAAGAAATAAAAACAAACAAAACAAAAACGTTACCACTGAATTTTATGAAAGACCAAATAAAAAAAGAGAAGTTGAAAACCCATCTTTCACTTATCTCTGAACCAAATTATACTTTTTGCCAATCCAAATTATCTGTAACAAATTCCCCTTCTTCCTATGAAGTAAAGGGCTTTTCTTAGCACTGGAAAGGGTTATTTTCAGCCTGCCATTGCCTGTTCTTCATAGGACAAGATTCCACAGGTGAAAAGGCCCATCCAACAGGAGATATGAAGGAAGAATATCTACATTAATCCTTGGCAAGATAAGTCTAACAGTTTGTACTTCAGAAGGACTGTACTTATAATTTCAGGGAATACCCAGCTTTCCAGCTGATCAGAATGGCAAAGCCCTCTGGTATTTTCCAGCCACCTGCATTTCTACCTCTACAGGTTATATTAAAAGTGAACAGTGTTAAATTACAATCTCTCTGCATCCAAATAGTACTATTCCTCCTTTACAAACCATTTTTAATATATTAATTTAGGAACCAATCAGTTGCCTACATAATTTTACGTTGCCTTAAGTCTCAGATTATGACTACAATACACTTACTTGCTATAGTTTTCCAAGGAATTGTCGTTGTAGTAAATGGAAATGCCCAGCAGAAGAGCGGACAGGCCTTGGACTAAATGCTCTTCTTCTCCAAGGTTTTCAGCTATCTGTCCTGTGAGCTGAATTCTTGCTAAGGATGACTGACCATTTCATTAAATAAAATACAAACAACATACCCTTACAATAGGTCATCTTTAGATTCAATTTGCTATTGAAGCTTCAAATCAAAATGTAAAAACACAAAATCCTTTATCAACTAAAAACTTGATAACAACATTAGTATACTACATCACAGCTAGTTTACAATTTATGTATCTTGCCATTTACAGTTCATTATCTGGATACGCCTTCAAAATTTCAATGAATGGAACTGTTTTTTCCAAAATATTTCTTGCACACTTTTACTCTACAAGTTTTCTTAAGATAGCATCTACTGTTGACTGGACAGTAAATTATGCTATCATCTGAAGAAAATATTTCATTACAATTCAACAAAATTAGGAGATATTTTCCAATTCTGTGATATTACAAACATAAGAGCAATAGTGTTAAAACACCAATAAGCTGATCTGCTACAAGACACGCTAAGCTGAGAGAATATTTTTAGGGGCAATTTTGCCAATAGCTGCCTACTCTTACACTGGGTAGGGATGAATATAATTATATTGAATTTAAAGCAGGCTGGGAGTTACCACAGAGCATCTGACATACAGTAATTGTCCATCTGCCTGCCCTAATCCTGCCTTAGGCAAATGCTAAACTGGGAGTTTGACTCATTTCATTCAAAAGGAAGCTGTCCCAGTTCACTTTTCCTTTACCACAGGATAAAAGTCAGGCAGAAGGAGTTACAGCAAGCCCACTCCTGTGAACTCAGTGCCACTTTGTCAGTTTTCCCTATAGATTTATATGCAATGGTTTAAAGTTCACAGCTTCTGGCTATGCTTTAGTCAGGGTCTGTTCAACACTAAAGAAGCAACATTTCTGCACCCCAAATTCACGATCTTCCAATATTCTGCAGCATTCCTGCAAACTTACCTGTGTCATCATACAGTTTTTATGTTGCACATTTAAGCTTTTTCAGAACAAAACTTTGGTTTGTAAACAAAGGATACAAATGGAATATTAGCTGGGTTGTGGAGAAAGTGTGTGACAGCTATTGGGCAACTGCTTAACCAGGTACAAAGCAGCATTAGTAATCCAACTCTTGTCTGCACCTTGCTTCCCTGTAGTGGAAAAATGACATTAATTTCTCCATTTATTACACAATATTACATATAATCAAAGTTATATTTCTCTCAAGACTCATCTACTTTCAATATAAAAAAAATACACTCACTAGTTTACTCACCTAGTTTAGTACTTAATTTTTTCCATTAAAGTCATACACATATTTCTAGCAACCTTCAGTGCATATCAAAGCAAGACTAATGTCAAGTATGACTCCATACATATTAGCAGCTGAATAAAATCATGACAAAATTAGTCAGCAATTAGTACTTGGATAACAATATTGTTACAAGTGCAAAAAAGATGCAAAAAATTGAGGGAGAAGAAACAACTCTGAACAAAATGTACTCAATTATCACAACCAAGTTGCAAATGCTTAAAGAAGCAGAGCAATAAAGCCAACTTCATTTTCAGCCCATATAATGTGCATCTCCTACTGACATATTTTACAATTGATTGAAGTTTTATTTGACAGTAAAATCTGAGTACTGCAGGATAGTTTCCTTTTCAGGCACAGAAACGCACAGGACAAATTCAACAGAGACAAGTGAAATGTTGTACACAAAGTAATCTTTTTGTTCTGTTTATTAACACTGAAAATTAACTTCTGAATATCAGGTGACATGCATTAATCATTAATGCACTACAATGCTGCCCAGATGACGTCCTTTAACAAAAAGGCATCTGAGTTTCAATTATTTTGGATTTGAATCCCTGGATGTTGGCCAGGAGCTTCTTTGGATAATGCTGACTCTCTCAACAAATCTCCACCCCTCCACTTTAGAGTTTAAATAGATGTCCATAATATTGGTTTGGTTCCTTAAACTGAAGTTTAATCTACTTAAAAGTAAAATGGCTACATCACCCCCAGCACTACATAAAATATAAGATTTTTCTAGTACTAAGCCACAGAGACTGATCTAACTTAACAGGTACTTTCTTAGTCTATAAAATCCGAACTTCTGTACAATTCTCTGGCTTCCCCATCTATATTGGCTATGGCAATGGGCTTTTGAATGCCATGTGATGAAGGCATGCACCTCTATGAGCAAATCAAACCTCACACACAGCAGCCAAGCAATTTCTCCAGGTCCTGCAAAAAAAAGCTAAAAAAAAAAATCGAAGTGTATCAGGCATAGGAATCAAGATTTAAAATGGAACTGAAGGACAAAGTGAGGCATATACAAAGGTTCTGATCTACAAAAGGCCAACGAAGGGAGCATACACACCAAACAAGAAGGATTACATTTAGCCAGCCTCAAAGGACAGTTTAAGCCTGTGTAGCATTTTAGCCTTGTTCTATGTTAGCAACCTAAGCTTGTACTTGAGAAGAGTTATCTCTACCCCCTACTCCAGTTCATTATACTGGAGAAGGTGTTGCTTTAAGCCCTAGATCAGTAGTACAAGAACTTAAAAGCCCTTAAAATAAATCCATATTCACCTTTAGGAATAGCAAGACAGAACAGTAGCCCGGGGGCAGGTAAGAGGGCTCCTTTTCTAAAAGGCTCCTGCTGCTACTTCTCTCTAGCCTGAACCAAGGTCACTTAGGGCTGCTTGCAGATGTTAAAAAAGCAGCACTTTAAACTCAACACACTCCCAGAAGAGGCAGCACATTAGCTGGACACAGCTCACCTAATACCTGTATAGATCGGGCACTTTAGTGGGAGTGTTTTGGTGCTTTTATCCAAGAGGTGATTGACTCAGCTTTAGATAAAAGCACAAAAGTCCCACTGAAGTGTCCAATTTAGGCAGATGCTGCAGAGCTATGTTGAAGTAACATGCTGCTTCTTCCAGGGTTGTGAAGTCTGAATAGCAGCTGCGAGGCCCTACCATCACTGAGGAAAAAAACCCAAACAAAATAGATCTCCTCACATTTTACAAGGGAGAACATTCCCAGAAAGTAGAGGTACACCGATACATCAATCCATATCATATCGACACCAATAAAAGGAAGATTGACATTACTGGCAATCAGCTTATTTTGGCTGATGTAGCCAATAATGTCGCCAATAAATGCTGGGTGCATGCACACAGCTGCAGCACACACGCAGCCAGTTCAACAGTTTGGAGAGCAGTGTCCAGCTGGTAAGTCTGTTGGGTCCCCTAGATTCCATGCCTGGGGTGAAGGCAGGCTGCCACTGTGGGCTGGGACCAGGGGCAGCACTGGGCTCTTCCTGGCAAGGAGTTGGGCCAGGCAGCAGTGGAGCTGGCAGTGGGAGGCTACAGCAAATACTGAGATGGCCCACCCCACAGCCACCCTTTCCAGTGCCACCTGGCCCGAGTACAGCCCTGACTCGGGCCCAGACTCCTCCCCCCCCTTCCCCCCACCAAGAAGAGCTTGGTGCTGCCCCTGGCCCCACACAGATCCAGGGGGCACACGTATCCCCATGGCTCCCTGGGGTGTGCGTTGCAGCAGGATCCGCCTCCTCCCTGCCTGGGTCCCCCCAGACTACCCTCTCGCAGCTCCATCTCAAGATCTGCCCCAACTGGATAGGACCTGCCCCAGCCCCACTCCCTTGCTCACTGCAGGGGCCTCAATCTACCCCCCTCACATTCCTTCCCTCCCCCCTACCCCTTCCCCCACAACAGACTTACCAACTGGACACTGCTCTCCAAGTTGCCGAGCTGCATAAGCGACAATCGGATCAGTATCGGCCGATACAGTTTGTTAATAATTGGCCATTGGTATCGGCCCAAAAAATCTTTATTAATGCACCCCAACCAGAAAGGCTGTTCAGCAGACAGTAGAATAGCCCAAGTGTAAAAAGAACACCCTTGGTGACCTTTAGTAGCTATCCCAGTCCAGCAATGTTCAAACCACCATTACCAGACTACAGAACGTGTCTGGCTTCCTACTTCTTTGCAACTGATACATGCTACAATATCTGTGCTGTCTACCCCATTCTGGGTTTTTACTTGAGAGAGTCTCAAAACTAGTCCACCCATTCATGTGCGCCCTAAATTTGCTTGCAGTTTTGCAGCAGTATTCTGGAGATTCCCCCCTTTTCTCCCCACATCACCCTATCCAAACTGATACTGGCTTCTGCTCACCTCTTGCACTACACTGCAGCTTCTGTCATCCTAGCCAATTCCCTACTGAATTCTGCTCCTGCCTCTCTCTCTCTCCATAGTTTTTCTACTCTTCCTGCCGCTATTCCACACATTTCCCTCTTAACAGATCATTTTGTTATCCAACTCTTGCTGCTTTCTTTAGTCAAGCTGTTCCTCCCAAAACACTTTTAACCAGCTCCTACCATGCATGTTAAGATACTAACACAAGGGTGGGCAATTATTTGGGTTGGAGGGATATTTAAGGAGATTTAGTAAGCTGTCAGACTGGGTCAGCACACCTACCCCTCCCTTCAACAGTTCACCAAAACTTCCTAAGTGGTTCTGCCCGAGGTGCTGCCGGATGGATGGGAATGGGGCCATGGTGGAGTGAGAAGCAGCATCCAGGAGTGGAAGGAGGACAGGCAGGGCCAGGATCTCAGAATGGTGACAGTGCAGGGCCAGGGCAATCCACTCCTCACATGTTCCTGTAATGGGCACTGGTTCCACAGGCAAGGGCATGCGGATAGGGTATCACAGCTCTGCCCTGGGCCCCAGCCCTATGTTGTAACCACCTGACAATGCCAGGGTCTCCCTGGAGAGTGGCCAGGACCTGTGTAGGCAGGGCATGGGACTGGGAGGACCAGATGGGCCTGTCAGCAAGCAGGGAATAATTTCTAGGAGTAGGATAGGTAGAAACAGGGCCAGGCCCAGGATCATGGGGCTGTGATAGCATGGAGCCAGGGCCCAGGACAGAGCTGCGACCCACTTCTGGCATGCCCCTGCTCACGGAACCAGCGCCCATCGCAGGATCATATGGGCAATGAATCACAGCTTTACCCCAGGCCCTGGCCCTGCAATATCCCTGCCCTGTGATCCTGGCCCTGCCCTCCCATCCCACGCACCACTCCCTGCCCACCAACAGCCCCATCCCATCCACTCAGGTCACATGACATACCCTTGAAGGTCCCATCCCTGACAGTGGGTGTAGGGTGGACAGGTCAGGGTGCCCAGGCAGTGGGTCCAAGGCTGGCAGCAGCCTGAAGTAGCCACAGCCACTGTGCCACCCCAGCCCTGCTGTGTGCCCACATGCAGCAGGACTGAACACAAGTGCCACAGCCTGGGCGGCCCATGGTGCTTGGGCCAGGCAGAGCCAAGAGACCTGCTGCAGGCCACACAAAATGCCTTGGTGGGCCACATTCAGCCTATAGGCTGTATTTTGTCCACTACTGCACTAATACTTTCCAATCCCACCTTATAAAAAGGACACTTCCCCACAAAGCCTTTCAGTGATAAATCAGAGATCTGGGTTTTCCGTTTGCCACAGAAAAACTTCAATTTTCTCTGTTAAGAGAGAATATAACAGATTTTTCCTTTGAGAGAGAAAGATGCAGAAAACCATGAGTTTCCCTTTGCAGGCTGGCAGAGTTCCAGCCTGCAAGGGGCTGCTTGGAGCTGAGGGAAGCAGGATGCAGGCAGTGCCATATGCATGTCTGCACACACACATGCACATTGCAGCCAGGTAGTGAAGTGGACAGCAGTTCCTGCAGCTCCCTGTAGGTAAGTCTATCAGGGCAGGGGGCACAGGCAATGCATTGGGGGGGATGGGGGCACATGCCCCCTCCCAGATTTCTGTGCTACAGTGCGGTGCAGGGCTTCAGCTGGGCCAGAACAGCTCCAGGCAATAGCCACCCCTGTGGCCCAGCAGGCAGGACCCAGCATGGAAGGGAGCAATGCTCTGCCATAGCTGCCAAGGTGAGGCGCAGCAGTGGCGCAAAGCTGTGCCCCCAGCTGCTGCTGGGTAGGCAGGGGTGCCTCAGCCTGACAACCATGGTGGTGTGGCACTCTTTCCCATGTCGGATCCCACCTGCTGGACTACGGAGGTGGCTCCTGCCCAGAGCTGTTCCAGCCTGGCTACAGCTCCGTGCCCTGCTGTGGCACAGGAATTTTGGAGGGGCGGGGGGGGGGG